ATAAGGAGTCAGGTGTGAGTGGACGAGGATCAGGGGTCCAGTTTTGCATTTATTGGCTCTGAGGGTTCTGGAGATTAGTGTGACATGGTGGGACTGTTTGCAGCCATCGGGAGAGACTTGGGAGGGAAATCCCTCAGACTGAACCACAGTTCACTCTCTCCTGGAACCCACAGGACTTCAGTCAGAGCACCCTTGAGGTGGGAGGGATTAGAGGTGTAAAAATGAGTCCTCTCCTGGGTGTGGATCACCCAGCACAGCCAGAGAGTGGCAAGAGAAGCCCAGGATAAACATGTCCACTGTTTAGTCTCCTTAACTGGGTGTCAAGATCAGTGTGCTGCAGGGAAAGGCTTTGTCTCCACTGCAACTTCCAAACCACCCTGATCCACATGACTCCCAGGGGACAGCCTCCTTCCTCTGTAGTGGGTTTCACTCAACGTCCCAAGCATCTCTCACCCAGACATCCCATGGCCTTTCTGTATCAGGCCTATCCCTTCCCAGGGTCAGAACAAGTTAGGGGACTTCCTAGTCCCTCCTCTGGAGACTCAGACCCAGGTGCCCCAGAATGCCCAGGACCTGCATGACTGACTCTCTCGCAGGGCCCTCCTGGTCCTGGACTAGAGGCTGGACTGAGGTGGAGCCCAGACACCAACCTGAATGCCACCCCTTTTGTCCCTGGGTTCCTGCCCCTGTGTTCCAACTCACAGAGGTACAGAAGGGGGTGGTATTGGGGTCCATAACCAGCCTCTCACTTTCCTCTCTGTTCTTGTCCTCTGGGTGGGAAGACAGGACCCTACAGGTTGGGAAGTGTGCAGGGTCCATGCTGTGGACTTATTTCTGTGGTCTCACAGGAAGTGAGTCTTCATGCCCCCAGGCCCAACTCTAACGTTCCCTCCTTGAGCCCAGACAGGTTTTGGTTCCTGAAAGGTTTTCCTACTGAGATATTTCATAACCAGGCTGAACCCATGTCAATCTAAAGACCAATGGTATTAACTGCATCACAGGTGGATAAAGATAGAGATATAAATAAAAGATAGGTGTATGGACTCAAGCACCAACTTACACCTTACACAAAAATAAATTGAAGGTGGATAAAAGACTTAAATATAAGCCTTGACACCATTAGAGTCCTAGAGGAGAACGTAGGTAGGAAAATCTCAGATATTTCACGCAGAAACATTTTTACGGACATGTCCTCTAGAGCACGGGACATAAAGGAAAGAATAAACAAATGGGATCTCATCAAAATAAAAAGCTTCTGCACCACTAAAGACAACAATATTAAAATAAAAAGAGAACCAACTGTATGGAAAACATATTTGCCAATGATACCTCAGACAAGGGTTTAATCTCCAAAATATATGAAGAACTTACATGACTCCACTCAAAGAAATCAAGCAACCCAATTAAAAAATGGACAAAGGACTTCAACAGACACTTCTCCAAGGAGGACATACACAGGATCCAGAGACACATGAAAAGATGTTCAATATCACTAGCTATGAGAGAGATGAAAATTATAACCACAATGAGATACTACTTCACACCAGTCAGAATGGCCATCATAAACAAAGCAACAAACAACAAGTGTTGGAGAGGTTGTGGAGAAAAGGGAACCCTACTGCACTGTTGGTGGAACTGCAGACTCGTACAACCACTATGGAAAGCAGTATGGAACTTCCTCAGAAAACTAAAAATGGAACTTCCTTTTGACTCAGCAATTCCATTGCTGGGACTATATCCTAAGAACCCTGAAACACCAATCCAAAAGAACCTATACACCCCAATGGTCATAGCAACACCATTTACAATAACTAAGGGCTGGAAGCAACCTAGGTGCCCATCAGTAAATAAATGGATCAAAAAGCTATAGTACATTTACACAATGGAATTCTATGCAGCAGAGAGAAAGAAGGAGCTCCTACCCTTTGCAACAGCATGGATGGAGTTGGGAAGCATTATGCTAAGCGAAATAAGCATGGCAGTGAAAGACAAATACCATATGATCTTATCTTTAACAGGAACCTAAACAACAAAACAAACAAATAAGCAAAATACAGTCAAAGTCACTGAAATAGAGGTCAGGCTGACAGTGACCCGAGGGGAGAGAAGAGGGAATTTCAGGGGAGAATGGGAAGGGTTTACAGGAACAAATGTAAAGGAAACATGGGCAAAAACTAGGGGGTGTGGAAGTGGGAGGCAGGTGGGGAGGGATGGGTGGGTGGGCTGGAATGGGTACAAAAGGCAGAAACTATACTGGAACAATGACTAAGATAAAATAAGTAAATTTAAAAAAAGACAGGTGTTTGGAGATACAAAAAGATGATAAATGACAGATAGGTAAAGAATAGATACATAGATGATAGATAAACATGTAGATAGAGGGGATGGGTGGGTACATAGAGAAGTAGAAGACAGGTAGATGGATAGATAAGTCAATGATAGGTAGATAGAAAAATGATAGGTACATGGATACATATGTACCATAGATAGATATATACACACTTAGATACATAGATATTCACACAGATACATGAATACATACATAAATATATAGATTGAAAGTTACATGGATACATACATAGACCAATGGTAACATAGATAGACACATAGACACTTTGATACATATATAGTGACATAGATACATAAAGACTTAGGTACATAGATAGATACTTAGATACAGAGAGAAATACATGGACAGCATAAGCAGGGGGACATATTGGCCTGGCTTCTGGTTCCACAGGCTGACAGTCCCCAGAAACATACTTATGCAAACACTTCAGGTTCCCAAGTGCAGAAGATGAACCATACAGCCCTCTTGACACCCTCATGTGATGACTTCGGGAGCACAGAGAGGAACTTGGCACAGTGAAAGGGTACTCAGTCTACCCCCCTTTCTCTCCAGGGCAGGTGGCACCCTGCTCAGTCACCATGCCTTTGTCTCTGTGTCCCTGTGTGTCTGTGACCCTGGGCTGTGCTCAGCACTCACCTGCCTCCCAGTTGGCTCAGTTTTCTCTGAACTAAAAGCCCCTAAGTCTACAGAGACAAATGGACTACACAGACTGTTGTTTTGTCCAAAGTTTGGTAAGAGGAGCTTCATGGAAGGTTGTGTTTGCAAAGAACCAGATGGGTCTGGGGGCTGGAGTTCTAACTGGATGCTGTGGGCATCTCTAGGTCATTTATGGCACAGATCGCAGGCACTGCATGGAGAGAAGGTGGACTCCTAGCCTCTGTCACTCACTACAGGGAGTGCATGATTCTGACCTCACAGGGGAGGGCCCAGCCCCAAGAGGAGGAGAATCAGGACCTGAAGGGAAATATCTGTGATGTCTTAGGGTCACAGCCCAGGCAGCAGCTTCTGGGCAACAGCACCAGGAAGGCAGTCTTCCAGGAAGAGCTGGGGTCAGCAGAAAGGGACTTCCTCATTGTCCTGGGTCAGCCAGGTAGGTCAGAAAGAGAAGAGGAGGTGTCTGCAAGGCCTGCTGTCATGTCCTCCTGGATGGGGTGGGGCTCCGCCTCTCCAAGGGCATAGACCTACAGCTCTCCCCAGACATGAGCTCAGCCCAGGGGGCACCCATTCCTGTGGTCACTGCTGCTCAAGAAGAAGAGCATCAGGCTCTGGGAGTGTGCCCTCCCTCCTGACACCAAGGCCCATGTGCATTATGATCCTGGGCCTCCACCTCACCTGCCCAGTGCCCCATGTTCCCAAGCCCCAGTCACCCAGCACCTCCAAGAAACAGAAGTTTCAGACCATGGACTCTGCCCTTGGGAAGAACCCAGGAAGTGAACCTGAGGATTCAGGGTGTTGTGGCCACAGCAGTTGGTGTCCTGGTGTGCTGCAGGGAATCCGGCATCTAGTCAGAAATACAGCACCAGCTCTCCTGGGGCTCCACCATGCCCAGACAGCAGCTGGTGGGACTTGCAGTTTGACCTGTGAGCCTGTTCCTATACTAAATCCATCCTTACTCTGTTTCTCTAGATATTGTATAAACCAGAACCTACTGGTTCTGTGTCCCTGGAGAGCCCAGACTAATGCACTAATAGATCAAAAGTAACAAAGAGATGACATACGGAAAGACAGAAATTCAATCCATGCAGGAACCCCAAGAAAATAAAGATAAAAATGGAGAATTAGAAGGCAAATTCCTGGAGGAAAATCAGCCCTGAGTAGAAATGGCACAAGAAAGATCAATACAATTTAAATTGAGGAAGAAGGCTGGACACCCACCCTCTCAGCCAGGACAGAAACCTCCTGGCTACTGAGATGTTTTCCTCTCCTGAGATCAGAGGTAGCCGACCTTAAGTGACTTAGTGAGTATTTCAGTGCCTAATTTTTAAAAAATAAAAGAGAGAAAAGACTGCAGGTACTATGGAGGGTTTGAACCAGGATTCAATATGCTAATGTTTTACAGAATTAAAGTACCACCTGCACTTTAAAAAGACCTGGCTAAGTTTCGGTTGAACTTTTAAAATATTCTTTTAATACAGAATAACATTTCTAATACCAGGCCTGTAACAGGCATGCAAATTTCTTCTTCTTTCTATTAAAAAAGAAAGAAAGAAAGAAAAGAAAGCTAAATTATCTGAAGGAGATGCTTGCACCCCCTAGCGGTTCTCGGGGTAAGCACTCCTTTTATCTTGATGGGGCAGCCAGTTTGACCCATAAGCTGGGTCTGCTGAAAAGAGCTGGGCAATATTAGCTGCATCTCTAGAAACTTCTGGACATTAGATGGGTCTCTGGAAACATCTTGGTGCCAGTAGCAGGGTCTCTGGAAACAAGTGAGCTTCGCCAAGCTGGTGGGTTGTAGCAGGGGCCACCTGGTTGGTGAACCTCCTGCATGTTGAGTTGGGGTCCCCGAAGCCAGGTCTTGCCTCTAGGAGAAATGTGTATATGACTTTTAGAAAGGAAATAGTTTAATAGTGAAATCCTCCAAGTGGCTGCTACTGGCCTTTGCAAGAGTGGTGTGTGTGTCTCCAGGTGCAGAGGCCAGGTGGTCCTGAAGTCAGTGTCTGGGGAGGGCTGCATACATGCTGGACTCAGCTGTGGGCTCTGTGGGTTGTGGGGACTCAGTGAGAGCTGCTCTCCGTGTGAGGGCCCGCTGGTCCAGCTGGGCATATGTCACCTCCTCGGGGTCTCCTGCAACAGGGCTCTGAGGGACAGACCCAGACTGTTAGTGTGGCAGAGGCTGAGGGGTGGGGATTGTGGGAAGGAAATTGGGAAAACAGCTTCCATGTGGCCCCTGTCATCCCACCTCTCAAATCTCCATTGTGTGGCCTCCTTCCACACAGAGTCAGAGTTGGTCTGTGTGACCCACAGAATATTGCAGAAGTGAGGGCCTGTCACCTCCAAGGAGGGGCCACAAAAGACATTGTGGCTTCGGTCCTTCAACTCTGGGGAGGCCGGCTCCATGGAGGAGCCCACCTGCTGCAGAGGAAGTGAGGCCTCCCACCGCACCCCTGCGGGGGTGCCACCCTACACATGGACCATGCAGCCCCAGTCAAACCTTCAGCTGGATGCAGCCCTGGTCATCTGCACAGCAACCTCATGAGAGTCCCTGAGCCAGGACTACCCAGCACATTCCATCTGCTTCCAAATCCTCACCCAGGATGCTGGGATGGTTTCGTGAACCTGTTAAGGTGGGGGTGCTCTGCTACCCAGAATCCAGTGGCAATTACAAGGACTCACTGGCCTGTGCCTGTCTCCATTTTCCTCAGGAAGTGCATCCACTGTGGTGGCCACATCTGGAGGGGAGAGAACAGTGGTCAGCTCTTGGGGGTGCACCTCTGAAGCCAAATGTGCCTGAGAATTCACAGGGTCCGATTTCATACCCTCCTCCTCCAGAAGAGCCTACAATGTTCCCAGATACCCTCCCACCCACACTGCTTCTGGAATGGCACTGAATGTACATTTCCCTTCTCCCAAGAGGTCCCCTCTCCTTGTCCCTTTACCTGATGGGCTCTCTGTGATGTCATCTGTCGGGCTAAGCCTGAGGAGAAAGAACATGTAAGCATGAGGGGGCCCACCTGGAGGCAGAGAAGTGGAAGGGGGTGCATGGTCACCCCCGGGGGAGTCTCACCTCTCCTGGGGCCTTGGCTCCTCAGCCTTGATGCTGGGGGGCCCTAAGGACAGTCAGGGGTGTGAATTAGGAGGGAGGCTGCCTTCCCAGCACCCCAAATGCTTTCCCACATGACCCCACCTTGACCCTGAGACTTACCACGTTTTTTCTGACGCTTACGGTGGACTAAGGGGAAGGCCAGGAGGAGGAGGAGACAAAGCAGACAGGCCACACAGATCCCGACAAGAATATAAAGAAGCTCTGTTGACCGCCCTGGGGGAGCATGGGAGATGGAACCAGGTATCAGCAGTGTGCATTTACTGATCACCTCCTGCATACCATGCCTGCGCTAAGGGCTTGGCATTTTCACACCCACATGGATGATCTCTCACGTGCCTCATAGTCCTGCACATGGGAACCATCATTCCTATTTTACAAAACCAGGGTCTTGAGTGGGGACATCCTCTGTCCACAGGACAATGGCAGAGATGGAATGTGATGGACGCCCAACCCCATTCTTTCCCCCTCCCCCAAGAGGCATGCTCCAGGTCCATGGCCCTCTGACCCCACCACTCACTGCTGGTCTTAGTGTCCCGGGAATTTGCCTGTGTGTGTCCTAGGAGTGAGGAATCAGGAGGACATGGGTCAAAGGCCAGAGCTGGGCAGAGGAGGCTCTGAGTGTCCCCAGCCCCCACCCATGGGGGTCTCCCTGCCTCTGGGACTCTCACCTGTTCCCTCCAATGCTGCTGTGCTGGTGGAACTTTCTGTGGGGATGGACATACCATCCTCTGTCCAAATTGATAATCGCGTGTTATTGAATCCACTGATACTGAAGTTAAAGAACTGTAAAAGCCAGGCCCTCCGCTGCACTAGCCACTTTTCAAAGGCTCAGTGGCCACACCTGGCTAACGACGTGCTCCCTGGATGGAGCAGATGAAATACCGTATTCCCTTCCCACAGCGGGAGAAAGCCAAGCCGCTGCCCTCGTGCTGCCGGAATCCCCGCAGCCAGCGGGCCAGCATATGAAGCACTGGACAGGGTCTGAGTTTGGCGCATGCGCTCTGTCCCTCACCAGTCCCAGCTTCCTCCGCTGCGCATGCGCGCCACCACACAGGTCTCTAGGGGCCAGACTGAGGTCCCGGGTTTGGTCCAGGCCCAGGGAGCACCCAGAGTTCCCTCTGCTGGAACTGCAGCCCCGCTCCTGCCTGAGGCTGAGTCCTCCCTACCCCTTAGGAAGGTAAAAAGCTTCACCTCCCAGAGAGTGCTTCCCTCAGCACCTGTGACATCCACAATCCAGGACCCACTGGCCGTTCTGCACGCCGCTGCCTGAGCTCACCTGGGTGACGTTCACCTCGATTTAAATTCCATGTGTATGCAGTGTATGTATGATACGTGTAATTTCATAAGCTGTTTATTTTTTAATATACATAATTTTATTACAAAATTTTTTGTAAAACTAAATGTCAACATTCCAAAAAAACCCAAAATTTACTATTGATACTAATTCCTATCAGTTTGCTGTGCTACCATACACTAGTCAAGAAATTAAAGAAACCATTACATATTTAGAAACATTTAACATCCAAAGCCTTAAAACCTAACTGAATGTAGTAGGCCCCTCAAAAACCTACAACCTGCATTTTGAAAAAAGTATTTTCTCTACGTAGAATCTTACCAGCTATACAAAAATCTGTACAGTTTTTATACTGAAGCTAATTTGAGCTGCACTTGAATTCACATTCTTAGCAAAACCATTGCCTGAGCACACACATACTCCACACGCATCATTACAGGATAGCCTTTTATTCTTCATCTTCCTCCTCTTCCTCCTCCTCCTCCTCTTCCTCTTCTTCCTCATCCTCATCTTCTGGTTCGTTCTTCTTCTCTGAGCCTGTTGGCCTTCCAGGTCCCTTCTTTCCCACTTCACTTTTTGCCTTTGGTACGGTATGCAGCAATATCCTTTTCATACTTCTCCTTCAGTTTAGCTGCTTTTTCTTTATATGGTTGTTTATCTTTGGCTGACTGTTCAGACCACAATTCGCCCAATTTTTTTGCAGTATCCCCAGTGGATAAACCAGGGTGTTCACTTTTGATCTTTGGGCGATGTTCAGAGCAATACAGGAAGAAGGCAGACGGAGGTCTTTTAGGAACGTTGGGATCTTTCTTCTTTCCTTTCTTACCACCTTTGGGAGGAACTAATTCATCTCCCTGTCACAGCGAGCTTCGTCACTCTGTGCCATATCTTCGAACTTGGACTTTTCCTTTGCAGACATGGTCTTCCATCCCTCCGAGCATTTCTTGGAGAACTCGGAAAAGCTGACTGAGGAGTCCAGGTGCTTCTTCTCGTGCTCTTCCCGGCAGGTCTGCACGAAGAAGGCATATGAGGACATCTTGCCCCTCGGCTTGCTGGGGTCGCCTTTAGCCATGGTGACAGACGGCATCTAGCTGACGGTAGGTCTTCCTCAGCGTCCCGCCAAGTAGCAAGCTCCTGCTGAGAGGCTTCCCATGCTGGGCTCCAGCGTGAACTGGCTTATTTTACCCAATCCTCAGGCAGTTGTTCTGCAGTCTTCTCCGCTCCACTCAGCTCCAGGGCACCTTGACCAGCCAGACCACAGGCCACACCCGCGCCTCTCTGATTGGGTCTGGTGAGTATTCAAACTCTGATGAGCTCTGCCCCCTCTCGATGGAGGCTTTCTATTAGTAGTGTGGCAGGAAAAGAAAACTCCAAAGGTTTCTTATGCTCTGTAACTGTAACACTTGCAAAGTTTCACACAGGACTGTAGAAGCTGACAAGTCGTAACCAAAGCAACAGCCAGTTACTCAAGGTCGTACACAGACTCCCATGATAAGCTCCTCGCTCCTTGGTTCTGCAAATTCCTCCTGAGTTTTCTCTTTGTCTCCCATATAAGGTAGCTGGACCTAACTTCCGCATTTGGCTTCTGTAACCTTGCTTCGCCACGTAGGTAGGAAGCCTGGGACTATTTAAACCCCGGGAGAGTGAGGATCGGAGCTCAGAGGATTTGGATGTTAGCCACCCGCTCTGGGCCCCCGGGTAATAAAGTTCGTGCTTCATTATCTCCCCGCGTGTGGGTGGATTTTCCACAACAGTAGGTGTTTCTCCAGGGCCGTCCCTCCACCCCCAGCCTAGGAGGTTCGGTGGGTCGCCCAGGTCCTTAACTTCCAGACCTGTTGGAACCGGTCAGGAGAGGAATGTACTGCTCCATCTTGATTGACGGCAGGAAGAGGGTTTGAAAAATGGCGGATCTGACGCTGACTGGCTAGGGCAAAAAGGGGGGGCGTAGTTGGCCCGAGAGGAGAAGCCCCACCAGATTTAAAAATACCAAGTCTCGACCCCCATGGTCGTCCTCAAGGTGGGGGCGGGGGCGACACAGGTTGCTGTCGCTCAGAGAACACCAGCAGCCTGTCCTGCCCCGACCATTGTCCAGGTCCTGTTTCTCCTGTGCCACATCCAAAGCATAATAAAGGGGGAAAGTCTGAGGAGCTTACTCTGCGCACCGGTTGCCCTGGCCTGCCCGAAGTCGCTGAGGGTGGAGTGGAACCCAAGGAGGACACCTGGCGGGGGACCTGGGGAAGGGCGCAGGAGGACAGCTGATCTGGCCTTTCCAGGGGTGCTACAAACCTGCCTGAAAACGTAGGGCGCCCTCGACCCGTGGAGTTTCCCTCGGGAGATCCCTCCCTCCTTCCCTCCCTGACCCTTTGTCTCTGGTGTCAAAATAATAAGCTGTTTATTTACAATAAATTGCGTGATTGTAGTGTAACTGTAGTAAATGTTAATATGTATAAATTATGAGATTTAATTTGTAAAGGTATAATTTAAATTTTATAAGTATTAAAATAAATAATTAAAAAACTTACATGACATAAGTCATACATATCAGTTTTACCAATTACACATTTTATTGTATCATATATGGTCTATATTTACGTAAAAATCTACATATGTTAATATTAGTAATACGTGAAAAATTTATGTTGTCTATATGCATTTGTGATGGTGTTGATGTGTTTGTTATATTAATTATATGACATATTTAATATACAATCTAAGGATATGCACACACATAGATTATAGATCTGAAACTTCACACTGTAAAATATGTATTTATAGTTGCACATACAGACACTTTAATATAGGCCTTTCTTCTGCTTGTTCTAATTAATTCTCCCCATTAGAACTGTGGGACAGAGACCATTTCTACTGATTCCCCATGTGCATTGAGCCAGCTGCTAGGGGACGTCTGCTGCAGACGCGGTGACCAGGAAATATTTGCTCACCTTTCCTCCAGCTGTCTGCATGCTGTGGTTGTGTCTACATGTCAAATACATGTATGTATATATACACACACATATGTAAATTTTAAAATTATCCTTCACCTTGCTCACCAAGCCCCCAACCCCTCCTCTTTGACTCTTTCAGTCTGTTCTGTGTATCTGTGCCTCTGTTTCTATTTTGTTTGTTACATTATTTTGTTCATTAGACTCCACACAGAAGTGAGATCATATTGTGTTTGTCTCTCTGACTCTTGTAGCCCAGGACACGGCTAGATCCCGGAGCCTGATCCCCAGTGAAGAGCTCCTCAAAACCCCTCTAGACCCAAGTCTCTACTCACCAGCTGTGGTGCGGGGCTTTCTGCATGAGAAGGGTATGGAGCTAACAACTCTAGGGGTTCCTGTGAACAGGGCAGGAGAAGAGTTGATGCCATGTGGGGACTGCCTGGGGTCCGTCCCACTCAGCATGGCCTCTCTCCACCCTGATCATCAACCTACAGGCCACATCAGTCCATCCTTCAGTCCCAGATGCCCCCTCACATTCCTGAGAAATGGGGGACAGGAGTCATGGAGAGCCCCCTGCTCAGTTCTGCTGAGGGGAAGTGGTCACTCCTCTCACCTCCCACCACCATGCTGCTCCTGACCCCATGAGTCAACAAGGAATTGATACTGTGAAACCCAGGAGGACATGGAGGGGGTCAGAGTGTCCCCGATGGACTCTGAGTCCAGGACATCTCAGGCCTAAAAACACTGGGGAAACACAGCTTCAACCCTCAAATTCCTGAATGCAATACCCAGTCCTGTCATGGGCCCCTGGACCAAATAATTTTCCAGAAAGGATCAATCATGCATACAGGACACATTTCCTGGAACCCCACCAAGTCTAGCCCAGGAAAAAGGACAGTAAAACACCACCCTGCAGGATGTGACGCCTGTCTCCTTGAAGGGGGTGTGTCCCCACCTGACGTCTGGGAGTCTACTCCCCACCCAGCCCTGCAGGGACAGCTTTGTGTCCACAACAATGCCAGGCTCAGTGTACAGGCCATCATGGTGTCGACAGTCACTAGGCCTCCAGGGCCCTAAGTCAGGTTTGAAGGTCAAAAGTCATGTGGGCAGAGAGGCAGGGGAGCCACAGGGCTGGGCATCAGGAGGAGGGCAGGGGCCTGAGGACAAAGGACACAGCTGAGGAACAGGGTGCAAAGACCTGGGGCAAACCTGAGGGTGGAGTGATGACGTCCTCAGCTGTCACCTTCAGCTCCAGGATCTCACTGCGCTCAGACCAGAGGGTCCCTTGGCAATACAAGCAGCGATAACTCCTGGTAGTGTCATCACTCATGGCATCGATGTGGAATGTGGCCTCTTTCCCCCGAGAACCATGTTGAGACTTGCTTCTCTCATCCCAATGAGAAGATCTTATATTCTTCTCCTCCAGACGGAATAGGTCAGCCCAGTCTGGGGCCCCGCACACGATGATCACAGGCTGTCCCCGGCGGATCACAGGTCCCGGCTCAGCCCTGATAGAGGGTTTGGGCAGGAGCCCTGGGAGGAAGCAGAGCAGATCTCAGGGTCCCTCAGGAGGAAGTCACCATACTCACAGTCCCTTATTTTTGGGGTTCACCTCAATGCTTTCAGCAAACGTGCAGAGCTCTGCAACCGTCCCCTTGACCCAGTTTAGAACTTCCCACCATCCTTTCCCCAAACACCAGCCCCAACACCCAGTCCAGGGCACTGTGAATCCTCATCACTGCAGAATGACACCCCTGACAAAGGACCCCAAGTTCTGGTCACACATTGGTCTTTATCAGGGTGACACAGAAGGGGTCAGAGCAGAGCAGCTTGGGGTCCTGGATACTACTCCCTGCCAACAGTCACTTTTCAGGGGACAAGGATGCTGGGAGGGTGGCAGAGGGTAAAGGTGATGGGTCACATATGGAGACAGGGAAGCAGGCGTCTGGGGAATGACCTGGGCCAAGTATGAAGGGGAGCTGGTGACACTGTGGCCACCAGTGGGGGCTGCAGAGCTCCACTGGAAGTCAGGGGAGAGGAGGGTGGAGCTCTACCTAGATCTGATCATGTGACCCAAGTGGGTGGGGATTTCCAAACCCAGGGCAATCCTCTGAGCAGTACTCAGCTCTGTTCCCACTGCATTTTCTACCTTCCTTGCAGCCTGTTCTCATTTCTAGTCTTGAGGGTCCTGAAAGCCCATGTGTGCCATGTGGATTGGGAGTGGGGAGGAGAGGACTCGTAGACCTGAAACAGGAAGATGGCACCCATGTCACACAAGCCTGACAGAGGCAGGTGCTGGCCAGGGCTCCACACTCATTAACTCACTCACTCACTCCCTCATTCTTTCATCCACATCCTAGTTCCTCTCCGTCCATCTACAGAGGGGCTCCATGTGCCACTGGCCCCACAAACACGAGACTCATACACAAGGACCTGCCTGCTTGTCTGGAGGGAAGAAGGAGGACACAGGCTGTTGAAGGGATCATGCAAACCCACAGCCACATGCGGTGACATGTACCCAGTGAGTGTGGGAGTCCCGGGACTGATGAGGGAAAGCTGATCTTATCTGGGAGTCTCAGGGGGAGGTGAAAATAGAAGACATCAGCCTGGGAGGAGGTTGAGTTGAGTGAGTAGGACAACACTGTCTGTGGCAGTGAAAGAGAGGCTGCGTCTCCACAGATCAGTGAGTCAGACAGAGTGAGAACAGACCCACCAAGACGGAGAGAGGAGCCTGAGTCTCATCCTAGCTGGAGATAAGCCATCAGAGGACTCTAAGAAACATTAATACTTTGCTATAAAACACAACATATATAAAAAAAATTAAAAAATATAAACTTACCCCTCTGCATGTGGATGGTCTGGACCAGGCAGAGCACTGGAAGAGAAGCTGTGGTGAGAAAAACAACCAGCGCTCGGCCTCCTCCCGGGGCTGCACTCAGGGGCCCTGATGGAGGCAGGGCTCAGCCCCTGAGAATGTCCGGCTCCCTCCTCAGCATTACGTCTGAGTACAGCCCTTCTTCGTGCCCTGAGTTTCAACAAAGCCCCTGTCCCCTCTCCCAAACAGGTAGTCAGTCTGAACCTGTCCCCACGCCCAGGTACCCACTCAACTTTCCATGGTCAGACTTGGGTCAGGGACAGAGCTCAGGGGTCAGACCCCCAGGGGGGACTATGAGTCTCCTGAGCTGGAGTCAGGACTCAAAAGGGATGAAACCCTTCCCCAGGCCTCCACCCCTTCTGTCACGGCATGTTATCCCTCCATTCCAGCACTCACCGAGGACCAGGAGGAGGCTGGGGTGGGGGCCCATGGCAAGACCTGCAGCCTGCACTGTCCTGGAGCTGCAGAATGAAGGACAGAGCAGCAGCTGGCACATTGCTCAGGAAGTGTGGGGTCAGGGGTTTTCCGGGAGTTGCTACATCAATGTCCTAGAGCAAAGGGGAAGAGCTAATGCAAATGGTCCTGAGTGCAGGCTGAGTACAATTCCTGTGAGACACTTAGACTGGAGCCGTGCCCAGGGCAGGAGACTATGCCTATGCCCAGGGCCCAGGGAACATCAGTAGGGCTGAGATGGTGTCCTGAACAGTGGTGGGGCTGCAGCAGTGGCTGATGGTTGTGCCCATCAGGGCTGGATGATGACTGTGGCCCCATCCATGAGACACTGTCTGTGGTCAATGCTGGCACAGGTGCACACAGGTCCACCTTGTCACCTAGACCTTCCTGCACCCACTTTGAAGACAAAACCCTTGGAGGCCCTCTCGTGGGTGCTGGGAGGGGAGGGCAAGATGCTGGATGCTCTCTCTTCTCTAAGTGATGCCGAGAAGACTCAACTCTGGTGAGCCTTGATGTGTTAGGCAGAAAGGACACACCTTCTCAAGAGCAGGTGTGGGGTTTACCTGTGATGGCTCCTGTCAGTCACCTTTACAGAGAAAAGGAGCATCTTCCCTTTCTCATCAGCCCCTGTGAATACACTGCACATTCCTAGTACCCCCGATACAAGTGCCCAAATTTCCCTTTCTATTGGGCAGACTAAGAGCTGCCTCCAGAGCACCTGCTGGCCTGCCCTCTAATGACCAACACAGGTGGCTTCTCTGTCCTCAGCTCCCTGTGCTGCCTCCTGTCTGATCCATCACCTCCCCACCCAGCCAGCCCCTTCATGGGTCAGCACTTGGCAGAACCCTCACTGAACCCCTCCATTCACAGCAGGGCCCTCACCGGCCCTGGGCCCTGGGCTCTGGGGCAGCCTCCTCTGAGGAAGGGGCTCTCACATGCCAGTACTTCCTCCTCAGGACACAACACTGCTCTGGGTCTTGGGGCCCTGTTTCCTGTGTCCCCAAATTCTTGTCCCTGACCACAGAGGGTAGCAGTGGGGTTGCTTCTAAAGGAAAGAGCATTTTCTGCATCTTCTTATTGGCCAAACGAGATCATTGGCAGAATGACAGGTGACTTGTGTAAGGCAGCATCTGAAAGGGATGATGCCTCAGAGGTGAGATCCCAGACCCTCTGCCACTGTTCCATGGAGTGTATCCAGCTGGGAAAACCACCAACTTCCCTGCTTTTTGTGTTCAGTTGTTGTCCTATGTGAATATCTCTGATACATCTTTGTCAATTGAAGACAAGAGAAACTGAGAGAAACCCAATGTGTCTGGTGACAAGGAGTCACACAGAGCAGGGCAGGAGGTGGCTAGAGGTAGACACGCCCAGAGGAGACATAATGATAAGGGATCTAATGTGCCTTCAGTTCAACCAGTTGAGAGTTTCAGATGGAAAGGATCAATATTTTCTCTAAGTTCACCTGCAGGACAGAACAGGGCAGCGGTCAGAGGGAGAGTCCCCTGGATACCCCAGTAGCTGCTGTGGAGGGGGGATTGCGGGAGCTCAGATTGGGGACGCAGTCCCCAGCAGGGACATGGGTACACGTGAGGACATGTGAGGACACATGGAGGGAACTCAGCAGGGATCTGGGATGGAGGGACATGAGGAGGGACATATGGAGAATCTAGGGTGACTGTGTTGCCTGATCCTGGACTCATGACCCTAAGAAAACAGGAGCAGACTGATGAGGAGTCAGGTGTGAGTGGGTGAGAACCAGGGGTCCAGTTTTGCATATATTGGCTCTGAGGGGTCTGGAGATCAGTGTGACATGCCGGGGGTGTTTGCAGCCATCACGAGAGACTTGGGAGGGACATCACTCAGATTTAACCACAGTACGGTCCCTCCTGGAACCCACAGGACTTTAGTAAAAGCGGCTCTTGGGATGGTAGGGATTAGAGGTGTAAAAATGAGTCCTCTCCTGGGTGTGGGTCACCCAGCACAGGCAGTGAGTGAGTGGCAAGCGAAGGCCCAGGGTAAACATGTCCATTGTTTAGTCTCCTTAACTGGGGGTCAAGGTCAGTGTGCTGCAGGGAAGGATTTTGTCTCCTCTGTAACCTACAAACCACCCTGATCTACATGACTCCCAGGGGGCAGCTTCCTTCCTCTGTAGTGGGTGTCACTCAAGTTCCAGGCACCTCTCACCCAGACTTACCATGACCTTTCTCTATGGGATCTGCCCCTTCCCAGGGTCAGAACAGGTTAGGGGACCTGGACCCTCCTCTGGAGGCTCAGGCCCAGGTGCCCCAGAGTGGGCAGGGCCTGCATGACTGACTCTCTCCCAGGGCCCAGCAGGTCCTGGACTAGAGGCACAACTGAGGTGGGGCCTGGACCTCACACTGATGCCACCCCTTTTGTCCCTGGGGTTCTGCCCCTGCATTCCAACTCCCTGAGGCCCAGAAGCGGGGTGGTATTGGGGTCCATAACCAGCCTCTCACTGTCCTCTCTGTCCTTGTCCTCTGGGTGGGAGGACAGGGCCCTACAGGTTGGGAAGTGTGCAGTGGCCACACTGTGGGCTCATTTCCGTGGTCTCAAGGGAAGTGAGTCTGGGTGCCCCCAGGCCCAACTCTAACGTCCCCTTTTTGGGTCCACAGAAGTTTTAGTTTCTAAAAGGTTTTTCTACTGAGATATTTCATAAAGGGGCTGAATCTATGTCAATCTAAAAACCTATGGTATTAACTTCATAACAGATGGATAAAGATAGAGATATAAATAAAAGAAGTGTATGGAGATACAAAGAGATGATAAATAATAGATTGGTAAAGAATAGATACACAGATGATAGATAAACATGTAGATAGAGGGGATGGGTGGGTAGATAGAGAAGTAGAGGACAGGTAGATGGATAGATAAGTAAATGATAGGTAGATGGAAAAATGATAGGTACATGGATACATATGTACCATAGATACATACATACATACTTAGATACATAGATACTTATATAGCTACATGGATACATAGATAAATATATAGATTGAAAATTACATAGATAAATACATAGATCAATGTTTACATAGAAAGACACACAGACACTTCAATACATAGATAGTAACATAGACACATAAAGACTTAGGTACATAGAGACTTAGATACAGAGAGAAATGCACGGACAGCATAAGCAGGGAAACTTATTGGCTTGGCTTCTGGTCCTCACAGGCTGACCATCCCCAACATTACACTTACGCAAACGCTTCCGTTTCCCACGTGCAGAAGGTAAACCATACAACTCTCTTGAGACCTTTATGTTATTACTGGGGGGGGGGACACAGAGAGGGGAGTGGCACTGGAAGGACACTCATTCATTCCTCTCATGCTCTCCAGGGCAGGTGGCAGCCTGCTCAGGCACGATGCCCCTGTCTCTGTGCCCCTCTGTGTCCTGTGCCCCTGAGCTGTCTGTGCTCTGCACACACCTGCCTCCCAGCTGGCTCCAGCAACTCCTAAACTAAAAGCCCCTAATTCTATAGAAGCAAATGCACCAAGGAATCAGTCATGTTGCCCAAAGGTTGGGGGGGCAGAGCTTCATGGAAGGTTGTGTTTGCAAAGAACCAGTTGGATCTGGGGGCTGGAGTTCCAATTGGATGCTGTGGGCGTCTCTAGGTCATCTATGACACAGACCACAGGCACTGTGTGTAGAGAAGGTGGACTCCTAGCCTCTGCCCGTCACTACAGGGAGTCCCATGATTATGACCTCACAGGGGAGGGCCCAGCCCCAAGAGGGGGAGAATCAGGACCTGAAGGGAAAGACCTGACACTTCTCAGGGGCACAGCCCAGAGAGGGGCTGCTGGGCTGTAGCACCAGGCAGGCAGTCTTCCAGGAAGAGCTGGGGAGAGTGGGAAGGGACTTCCTCATTGTCCTGGGTCAGCCAGGTGAGGTCTGATAGAGAAGAGGTGTCTGCAAGGCCTGCTGTCATGTCCTCCTAGATGGGGTGGGGCTCAGCCTCTCCAAGGACACAAACCTGAGGCTCTCCCCAGATCTTAAGCTCACACCCAGGGGGCACCCAGTCCTGTGGTCCCTGCTGCTTAAGAAGAAGAGCATCAGGCTCTGGAAGTGCACCGTCCCTCCTGACACCAAGGCTCATGTGTATTATGATCCTGGGCCTCAACCCTACCCTCCCTGTGCCCCAAGTTCCTGAGCCCCAGTCACCCAGCACCTGCAGGAAACAGAAGTTCAGACCATGGGTTCTGCCCTGGGGAAGAACCCAGGAGGTGAACCTGAGGATTCAGGGTGGTGTGGCCACAGCAGTCAGTGTCCTGGTGTGCTGCAGGGAACTGGCGTCTGTGGTCAGAATTACAGCACCGGCCCTCCTGGGGCTCCAGCGTGCAGACGGGAGACAGTGGGATGTGCAGGTTCTATGACCTGTGAGCCTGTTCCTCTACTGAATCCGTCCTTACTCTCCTGCGCCTCTAGGTAACATACATACCACACCGTACTGGTTCTGTGTCCTGGAGAGCCCAGACTATGCACTAATAGACAAAAACTAACAAGGAGATGAAAGACGGAAAACAGAAATTCAACACATGATATAACGCCAAAGAAATAAAGAAAAAATAGAGAATTAGAAGCAAATTCCTGGGGGAAAATTACCCCTGAGTAGAAATGGCACAGGAAAGATCAGCACAATTTAAATTGAGGAGGAAGGCTGGACATCCACCCTCTCTGAGTCAGGACAGAAACCTCCTGGCTACTGAGATGTTTTCCTCTCCTGAGGTCAGAGGTAGCCGACCTTGGGCAAGTTAGCAGTATTTCAGTGCCTAGTTTTTAAAAAACAAGTCAGAGGAAAGACTGCGGGTACTATGGAGGGTTTGAACCAGGATTCAATATGCTGTTTCGCAAACTAAAGTAGCAGTTGAACTTTTAAGAGAACTGGCTGAGTTTGGGTTGAACTTTTAAAATACTCTTTTAGTATACAATAACATTTTTAATACCAGGTCTGTAACAGGCATGCAAGTTTCTTCTTTTTCCTATTAAAAAAAGAAAGCAAATAATAATAATAACAATAATAATAATAATAACCGCTAAATTATCTGAAGGAGACGCTGGCGCCCCCTAGAGGTTCTCAGGGTAAAGACTTTTTTTAACCTGATGGGGCAGCTGGTTTGACCCATACCTGGGTCTGCTGAAACCAGATAGGCAACATTAGCAGGGTCTCTAGAAACTGCTGCACAGCATTAGCTGGGTCTCTCAAAACTGCTAGACTAAGTTAGTTGGATCTGTGGAAACTGCTGGACATTGGTTGTTCTATGGAAATTGCCTGACAACATTAGCTGGGTCTCTGGAAGCAGCCAGGTGCCAGTAGCTGGGTCTCTGGAAACAAGAGTTACAACTGTGCTTCACCAAGCTGGTTGGTTGTAGGAGGAGCAACCTGGTTAGTGAACCTCCTGCTTCTTCAACAGGGGTCCCCAAAGTCCAGGTCTTGCCTCCAGGAGAAATGTGTTGATGACTTTCAGGAGGGAGATAGTTTAATAGTGAAATCCTCCAAGTGGCCGCTACCGGCCTTTGCAAGAGTGGTGTGTCTCCAGGTGCAGAGGCCAGGTGGTCCTGAAGTCAGTGTCTGGAGAGGGCTGCGTACATGCTGGACTCAGCTGTGGGGTCCGTGGGTTGTGGGGACTCAGTCCGAGCTGCTCACTGTGTGAGGGCCCGCTGGTCCAGCTGGGCATATGTCACCTCCTCGGAGTCTCCTGCAGCAGGATTCTAAGGGACAGACCCAGGATAAGTTAATGTGGCCGAGGCTAAGGGGTGGGGATTGTGGGAAGGAAACTGGGAAAACAGCTTCCATGTGGCCCCTGTCATCCCAGCTCTCGAATCTCCATTGTGTGGCCTCCTTCCACACAGAGTCAGAGTTGGTCTGTGTGACCCACAGAATATTGCAGAAGTGAGGGCCTGTCACCTCCAAGGAGGGGCCACAAAAGACATTGTGCCTTTGGCCCTTCAACTCTGGGGAGGCCGGCTCCATGGAGGAGCCCACCTGCTGCAGAGGAAGTGAGGCCTCCCACCCCACCCCTGTGGGGGTGCCACCCTACACATGGACCATGCAGCCCCAGTCAAACCTTCAGCTGGATGCAGCCCTGGTCATCTGCACAGCAACCTCATGAGAGTCCCTGAGCCAGCACCACCCAGTACATTCCATCTGCTTCCAAATCCTCACCCAGGATGCTGGGAAGGTTTTGTGAACCTGTTAAGGTGGGGGTGCTCTGCTACCCAGAAGCCAGTGGCAATTACAAGGACTCACTGGCCTGTGCCTGTCTCCATTTTCCTCAGGAAGTGCATCCACTGTGGTGGCCACATCTGGAGGGGAGAGAACAGTGGTCAGCTCTTGGGAATGGACTTTTGAAGTCAAATATGCCTGAAAACTCACAGGGTCAGATTTCATACCCTCCTCCTCCAGAAGAGCCCACAATGTTCCCAGATACCCTCCCACCCACACTGCTTCTGGAATGGCACTGAATGTACATTTCCCTTCTCCCAAGAGGTCCCCTCTCCTTGTCCCTTTACCAGCTGGGTTCTCTGTGATGTCATCTGTCGGGCTGAGCCTGAGAAGAAAGAACAGGTAAGCATGAGGGGGCACACCGGGAGGCAGAGAAGTGGAAGGGGGGTGCATGGTCACCCCCAGGGGAGTCTCACCTCTCCTGGGGCCTTGGCTCCTCAGCCTTGATGCTGGGGGGCCCTAAGGACAGTCAGGGGTGTGAATTAGGAGGGAGGCTGCCTTCCCAGCACCCCAAATGCTTTCCCACATGACCCCACCTTGACCCTGAGACTTACCAGGTTTTTTCTGACGTTGATTGTGCACTAAGAGGAGGGCCAGGAGGAGGAGGAGACAAAGCAGACAGGCCACACAGATCCCGACAAGAATATAAAGAAGCTCTGTTGACCGGCCTGGGGGAGCATGGGAGATGGAACCAAGGTATCAGCAGTGTGCATTTACTGATCACCTCCTGCATACCATGCCTGTGCTGGGGGCTTGGCATTTTCACACCCACATGGATGATCTCTCACGTGCCTCATAGTCCTCCACATGGGAACCATCATTCCTATTTTACAAAACCAGGGTCTTGAGTGGGGACATCCTCTGTACACAGGACAATGGCAGAGATGGAATGTGATGGACGCCCAACCCCATTCTTTCCCCCCTCCCCCCAAGAGGCATGCTCCAGGTCCATGGCCCTCTGACCCCACCACTCACTGCTGGTCTTAGTGTCCCGGGAATTTGCCTGTGTGTGTCCTAGGAGTGAGGAATCAGGAGGACATGGGTCAAAGGCCAGAGCTGGGCAGAGGAGGCTCTGAGTGTCCCCAGCCCCCACCCAGGGGGTCTCCCTGCCTCTGGGACTCTCACCTGTTCCCTCCAATGCTGCTGTGCTGGTGGAACTTTCTGTGGGGATGGACATACCATCCTCTGTCCAAATTGATAACCGCGTGTTATTGAATCCACTGATACTGAAGTTAAAGAACTGTAAAAGCCAGGCCCTCCGCTGCACTAGCCACTTTTCAAAGGCTCAGTGGCCACACCTGGCTAACGACGTGCTCCCTGGATGGAGCAGATGAAATACCGTATTCCCTTCCCACAGCGGGAGAAAGCCAAGCCGCTGCCCTCGTGCTGCCGGAATCCCCGCAGCCAGCGGGCCAGCATATGAAGCACTGGACAGGGTCTGAGTTTGGCGCATGCGCTCTGTCCCTCACCAGTCCCAGCTTCCTCCGCTGCGCATGCGCGCCACCACACAGGTCTCTAGGGGCCAGACTGAGGTCCCGGGTTTGGTCCAGGCCCAGGGAGCACCCAGAGTTCCCTCTGCTGGAACTGCAGCCCCGCTCCTGCCTGAGGCTGAGTCCTCCCTACCCCTTAGGAAGGTAAAAAGCTTCACCTCCCAGAGAGTGCTTCCCTCAGCACCTGTGACATCCACAATCCAGGACCCACTGGCCGTTCTGCACGCCGCTGCCTGAGCTCACCTGGGTGACGTTCACCTCGATTTAAATTCCATGTGTATGCAGTGTATGTATGATACGTGTAATTTCATAAGCTGTTTATTTTTTAATATACATAATTTTATTACAAAATTTTTTGTAAAACTAAATGTCAACATTCCAAAAAAACCCAAAATTTACTATTGATACTAATTCCTATCAGTTTGCTGTGCTACCATACACTAGTCAAGAAATTAAAGAAACCATTACATATTTAGAAACATTTAACATCCAAAGCCTTAAAACCTAACTGAATGTAGTAGGCCCCTCAAAAACCTACAACCTGCATTTTGAAAAAAGTATTTTCTCTACGTAGAATCTTACCAGCTATACAAAAATCTGTACAGTTTTTATACTGAAGCTAATTTGAGCTGCACTTGAATTCACATTCTTAGCAAAACCATTGCCTGAGCACACACATACTCCACACGCATCATTACAGGATAGCCTTTTATTCTTCATCTTCCTCCTCTTCCTCCTCCTCCTCCTCTTCCTCTTCTTCCTCATCCTCATCTTCTGGTTCGTTCTTCTTCTCTGAGCCTGTTGGCCTTCCAGGTCCCTTCTTTCCCACTTCACTTTTGCCTTTGGTACGGTATGCAGCAATATCCTTTTCATACTTCTCCTTCAGTTTAGCTGCTTTTTCTTTATATGGTTGTTTATCTTTGGCTGACTGTTCAGACCACAATTCGCCCAATTTTTTTGCAGTATCCCCAGTGGATAAACCAGGGTGTTCACTTTTGATCTTTGGGCGATGTTCAGAGCAATACAGGAAGAAGGCAGACGGAGGTCTTTTAGGAACGTTGGGATCTTTCTTCTTTCCTTTCTTACCACCTTTGGGAGGAACTAATTCATCTCCCTGTCACAGCGAGCTTCGTCACTCTGTGCCATATCTTCGAACTTGGACTTTTCCTTTGCAGACATGGTCTTCCATCCCTCCGAGCATTTCTTGGAGAACTCGGAAAAAGCTGACTGAGGAGTCCAGGTGCTTCTTCTCGTGCTCTTCCCGGCAGGTCTGCACGAAGAAGGCATATGAGGACATCTTGCCCCTCGGCTTGCTGGGGTCGCCTTTAGCCATGGTGACAGACGGCATCTAGCTGACGGTAGGTCTTCCTCAGCGTCCCCGCCAAGTAGCAAGCTCCTGCTGAGAGGCTTCCCATGCTGGGCTCCAGCGTGAACTGGCTTATTTTACCCAATCCTCAGGCAGTTGTTCTGCAGTCTTCTCCGCTCCACTCAGCTCCAGGGCACCTTGACCAGCCAGACCACAGGCCACACCCGCGCCTCTCTGATTGGGTCTGGTGAGTATTCAAACTCTGGTGAGCTCTGCCCCCTCTCGATGGAGGCTTTCTATTGGTAGTGTTTCTCCGGGGCCGTCCCTCCGCCCCCAGCCTAGCAGGTTCGGTGGGTCGCCCAGGTCCTTAACTTCCAGACCTGTTGGAACCGGTCAGGAGAGGAATGTACTGCTCCATCTTGATTGACGGCAGGAAGAGGGTTTGAAAAATGGCGGACCTGACGCTGACTGGCTAGGGCAAAAAGGGGGGGCGTAGTTGGCCCGAGAGGAGAAGCCCCACCAGATTTAAAAATACCAAGTCTCGACCCCCATGGTCGTCCTCAAGGTGGGGGCGGGGGCGACACAGGTTGCTGTCGCTCAGAGAACACCAGCAGCCTGTCCTGCCCCGACCATTGTCCAGGTCCTGTTTCTCCTGTGCCACATCCAAAGCGTAATAAAGGGGGAAAGTCTGAGGAGCCTACTCTGCGCACCGGTTGCCCTGGCCCGCACTCCTTCGCTGAGGATGGGGTGGAACCCAAGGAGGACAGCTGGCGGGGGACCTGGGGAAGGGCGCGGGAGGACAGCCGATCTTGCCTCTCCAGGGGTGTCACATACCTGCCTGAAAACGTAGGGCGCCCTCGACCCGTGGAGTTTCCCTCGGGAGGTCCTTCCCTCCCTCCCTCCCTGACCCTTTGTCTCTGGTGTCAAAATAATAAGCTGTTTATTTACAATAAACTGAGTGATTGTACTGAAACTTCAGTAAATGTAATTATGTATAAATTATGTGATTTAATTTGTATAGGTATAATTTAAATTTTATAAGTATTAAAATAATTAAAAACTTACATGACATATGTCATATATATCAGTTTTACCAATTACACATTTTATTGTATCATATATGGTCTATATTTACGTAAAAATCTACATATGTTAATTTTAGTAATACGGGATAAATTTATAATGTCTATATGCATTTGTGATGATATTAATGCGTTTGTTATATTAATTATATGGCATATTTAATAAACAATCTAAATATATGCATTGGCATAAATTACAGATCTGAAAATTCACACTGTAAATTACATATTTGTATTTGCACATGCAGACACATTAATATAGGCCTTTCTTCTGCTTGTTCTAATTAATTCTCCCCATTAGAACTGGGGGACAGGGACCCTTTCTACTGATTCCCCGGGTGCACCGAGCCCGCCGCTAGGGGGCGTCTGCTGCAGACGCGGTGACCAGGAACTATGTGCTCAATATGGTCGTTAAGAGCTTGTCCCTCTGTCTCTGTCCCGCGGGAAAAGGACTTCAGCGCCCTGCCCTGTGTAATGACCTCCCTGTCCCCGCAGCAGCGCTGTGCTCAGGATTCTCCCAGAGTGGAGTCTCTGCCTCTAGGTGACTAAGTCGTTCTTCAGGGACAACCGTCATGAGGTCGCTTCTCTCCTAGGGTCCAAGTTTGGAATCTGAGCTGTCAGTCCCCCTGTCCCCGTGTCTCTCTGTCCCTCTGTCTTGCAAGGTAGTACGACTCTGCCCACAAGGGGGTGGTGCAGAGTTGTGAACAAACCCTGGGGCCTGGGTTCTGTCCACCCTGGGCTGCTCCTGCCTCTTCATAACCTTGTGTCTTTGGGCAAGAAACTTGAGCTTTGTTTCTGCAGATTTAAAAAAGTGAGGCTGTTAGAGGTCAGACAAGCACCCCTCCCCCAACTGTCAGTGGTGGGCAGGAAATGCTGCCACAGAGCCTGACACCGAGTTATCCACCCTGCCAGTGAAGTTGTCCCAGTCACCAACGTTAGTGCCGCCCTGTGTGTGCCAGCCCCTTGCCATGGTCTGTTCTTAAACTTGAACTTATTGGGGTGAAATTGGTTAATAAAACCATATAGGATTCAAGTGCATACCTCGATGGAACATCATCTGCACACTGCATTGTGTGCCTGTCACCCAAAGTAAAGTCTCTTTTTGTCTCCAATGACCTTGCCTTCCTGCCTCCTTCCACCTCCCATACCTCCTTTCCCTCTGGCTGTCTACATGCCGTGGTTGTGTCTACGTGTCAAATACATATATGTATATATACACACATATATGTAAATTTAAAAAATAATCCTTCTCCTTGCTCACCCGCCTCCAACCCCCTCCCCTCTGACAGTTGTCATTCTGTTCTGTGTATCTGTGCCTCTGTTTCTATTTTGTTTGTTACATTATTTTGTTCATTAGACTCCACACAGAAGTGAGATCGTATGGTATTTGTCTTTCTCTGGTTATCCTAGCTCAGATCAGAGGGCCGCACCCCAGAGCTTGATCCCAAGCACAGAGCCCCCTGAAACCCTTCCAAGCTGTGGTCTCTACTCACCAGCTGTGGAGGGGGGCTTTGTGTGCATGAGGGGGGTGGAATGGACAACTCTGGGGGCTCCTGTGAACAGGGCAGGAGAAGGTTGATGCTATGTGGGGGCTGCCTGCTGTCTGTCCCACCCAGACTGGCCCCTCTCCACCCTGATTTTCCACCCACAGGCCACATTGGCCTATCACTCAGTCCCAATGACCCCTCACATTCCTGAGAAATGAGGGCCAGGAGTCTCGGAGAGGCCCCTGCTCGGTTCTGCTGAGGGGAATTGGTCACTCCTCTCACCTCCCACCATCATGCTGCTTCTGACCCCATGAGTCAGCATGGAATTGATCCTGTGAAACCCAGGAGGATATAGAAGGGTCAGAGTGTCCCCAATGGACTCTGAGTGCGGGACATCTCAGGCCTGAACACACTGGGGAAGGACAGCTTTATCCCCCAAATTCCTCAAAGCAACATCCAGCCCTGGTCATGGGGTCCAGTCCTGGACCCCATGAGTTCCCAAAAAGGATCAATCATGCATACAGGACATATTACCTGGGCCCCATAAAAAAGATAATAAAACACCATCCTGTGGGCTATTATAACTGTCTCCTTGAAGGGGGTGGGTCCCTAACTGACCTCTGGAACTCACTCCCCTCCTAGCTCTGCAAGGACAGCTCTGTGTCCACAACAATGCTGGGTTCAGTGTCCAGGCCATCATGGTATCAGGAAGGGTCCAATGCTCCAGGACCCTGAGCCGGGTGTGAAGGTCAAAGGCCATATGGGCAGACAGGCAGGGGAACCTCAGGACTGGGGGCCAGCAGGAGGGCAGG